GGAAGCTAAGATACAATTAAGCTCGTGGCTCTTTTTCTACTTTTCTAGGTGTTGTGTGTCCTTCTATGATTCCTAGAGGAACTGCACCTCATGTCTGGGAGCTGTCCAGATCAGCACCTATGTTACTATTTGCCTACAGGAGAGAATTCCAGAGCTGGATCCCAAAGGGCAATCTTTTGTTGGGTCTTTTGTTCCTCCCCTTGGGGACCCTGACCTTCCTGTGAAGTCTCATAATTCCATCCGGACAGTTAGTTTATGATCTGGGCACCTGACCAGCTAAACTCTCTATGTAGTGTCACTGGGTGAGATAATCCAGGAGACCTAAGCTAACCATAGCTCTCACAACCAGCACTGGCTGGCTCCACATATCAATAAAGCCTTGTTCTCTGTTAGCCCTCACAGGAAGTCAAAACCATGCAGTTACAAAAAAAACAAAAACAAAAACAAAAAAAAACCTCCCATGAGTCATCTGGAGTCCAGGACAAGATCAGAGATTTGTAGATTTGTAGCTGGGGCTTCCTGGTACTCTCTGAGAAGATCCCATGGCTTCATCAGTCAGAGTCTGCTCAAATCCCACAGAGTCTTTCTGGGGACATGAGCGCGGTGAGAACTCCAATTGTCTCAGCTACAGTTGACATCCTGGGGTTGAGTTTACCCAGCACAGGTTCTCCACTCTGTAGATAAAGGCAAGTGAGGAGTTCTGAACTGTTACAATTTGTCTACCATATTGTGACCCACAGGAAGAGCCCACACTGTAGTATGGGGATACAAAGCACTGGAATGGGTATCAGGCACAGCCCAGTCCTCAAAGTCCATTGTATCCAGTAGGATAAGACACACTCAGCAGCTGGTTGCCTTGGAGAATCACTTACAGCTTACATGGAGTTATACAAGCATACTTTCAACTTCCCAAATCTCTGTTTAAAGTGCCTAATGTGTACAGTCCTGCTTCTTTCACTATTGTGCCCTAGAGCAAAGGGAATGATTTGTTACACTCTATTTCTTCTGCTGTGTGCAGGCCCCCAATAAATGTAATTTGTGGCTCTGCTATTTTATTTGATCTTAAACATCTGGGTGCACTGCACCAATTCATACCAGGAGCACGTTCACAGATCTGACTAATTATAAAGAATGAGGAGAACACTTTCACCTTTAGCATTGTTCCATGACACTGGCTCTAGTTTGAGTTGTCCAGAGCTGACAGGGTTGCAGCAAATAGAAAGGGAAAAGGGAAAAAGTAACCGCAAAAATCATTGCGCTTGGTAGAAAGATGGCAATCTTCATCCTAAGCAGGTGGATTCTTCATTCAGCCTAATGACGTAGGTGTGAGTGTTTCTAGAAGTCAACAACATTCACTCAGTGCTCCTGATTATTACATTTCCTCTGCATGGAGATCTCTGGGGGTGTCTCCACAGCTGCCCCTCACTGCCCTCAGTCAGGCACTGTGCACACTGATGTTCAATGAGGCTGAGATTATGACTCCTCTAAACTTTTTAACCATAGACCCTACAACTTCTTTCTCGGCTCGTTTTCTGTTTCCTTTGTGGCTCCATTCAACCCATTTTAGACTGAACTCAAGGAATCCTGGTGAAGAGTGGGTAGAAGGATTCTGTGATTTAGAGGCATCACAAGATTTACAGAACCAACTAACCTGTGCTCAAAGGAGCTCACAGAGACTAAACTGAAAACCAGGGCCACCTGCATGGGACCGTCTTAGGCCCTCTAATATGCATGTGACAGTTGTGTAGCTTGGTCTACTTATGGGACTCCTTACAGTGGGAACAGGATCTATTCCTAATGCTTTAACTTGCTTTTGGAACTCTATTGTTCATACGGAATTGCCTTTCCCAACCTGAAAACAAGGTGAAGTGCTTAATCCTATTGCAAATTTATATACCTTTCTTTTTTAAATCCATGGGAGACCTGTCCTCAGAACAGAAAAGGAGAAGGGCTGAATTGGGGGGCAGAAGAGGGGAGGACAAAGGGATGAAGGAGGGAGAAAGTAAGATCGGAAGGTAAAATAAGTAAATAAATCTAAATAATAAAAAACTACTACTACTAAATTATTGTAAACTGTTTAAGAAAAATAAGCCATGAAAGTTAATGGTCAGCCACCTCATAAATAATCAAATTCTTTAATATGTTCTGAACTATACATGTAGTCATGCTAAATATATTGTAGAATTCAGTCTTGTTTAGCTTCCTGTATATGTTTTCAAGGTTAAGCCTAAAGAAAGCAACTAAAGACAAGCAAGAATCATTTAGCTCAGACAGTTCATAAATAATCGGCCTGTAACTTATTGTAGAACTTATGAACAGGGCATTTAAAAATGTTTAATGGCTCTCTTTTGTGTTCTGGCTCCAAGATCACAAAAACAGAAGAAACAACAGAAGTCCCAAATTAACACACAGACTGTGCCTGTGTGGGCCCAATGACAAGACCATTAGGAAATCCATCACTTGGAGCATTATAGAAGCCAGTGCTGTCAGATATGTATCCAAAGCAAGGGTTTTCCACAGTCATGCGCTTCCCAAACTCTGGGTCAAGCTGTATTACTGCGTGAGCTGTGTCTTTCATAGCAAGGTATTCTGGAATCCATCTCCTGAAACCCGGAAACACTGAACATCCCCACCACTATTTATACCTTTTGATGCTGCACCACAACCTCCAAAGCCTATGTAAGGAGATGGCTTTATATGGACAGAAGAAAAAAACATCTTGTGAGAGACCCAGGACCCAGAAAATCCCTGATCCACAGCTCCCACACAGACCTCAAACGACTAGACTCCAAGCCCTGATCCAGGGGAAAAGACACAACCTGAAAACAGGACCAGAGCCAGAGGAAGAGACACTTTGACCCCAAACCTAGAGCTGGACGGAAGCTCCCGAACCATGAAACTAGGACCAAAAGAAGGCACTAAACTCCCAGATTCAGAGCATATCAAAGATTACTCGCCCTGGTCCCAAAATTAGCGTTAAAAAGGTAGAAAGAAACAGGAAACGAAACACAGTTTAACCCCAGAAATGGAGCCATTTCTGGCCCTGACTGGAAACTAGTCAATCCCTGAGCAGGGAAAACATACCTATCAGAGCCTAATCAGAGGACAGCCAATCTCCAATCTGGGAGCCTGGAATTCCCCCTCTCACCTATAGGGGGCAGCCAATAACAAGCCCTGAGGCTGGAAATTCCCAGAGCCTCTGCCCTTTATAAAAACCCGTGTTTTTCCCTACTCTGGGTCTCTCCTCCTGTGTTGTTCCTGGGGCGGCTGCTGGCTGTCGTCACAGCTCCTGCTGTTGTCCCTGCCCTGCTGCTTCTGATGGAGGGAGGGACCTGAGTCACTCATGAATAAAGATTTCGTTTGGGCATTGGAATTGATCTTTTAGTGGTGATTCCGGTTCAGGAATTCGGGTATAACATCCGGTAAGTTTTAAAGGCACCAACTAAACAGGTACCTTCCTTTTTTTTCTTTTCCTCTTTTGCACAGGCGACTTCAGCGGGTCGCTCTCTAGCCATCCTTCTTTAACATCTAAGAGGGCGATTTCGTGTATAGTGCAAGGGATAGCCATCAATTTTAATATCTAGGAAGACGACAAAAGCCCTACAAGAGTTAAATAAGTGTAGGATCTAAGGTTTAAATCCATGCATGCATGAACCCTCTGTGAGATCTGAGGCTTAGGGAGAGAGTTACCTGTATATCTGTATGTAACTACACAGCAGGTCGCTCCTGCTATTAAACAGGGCCCAGTTAACTGGTACATGGGGCTAACTGACATCTGTATATCTGTGTGTATAGGGCCTAGGAGGTTAGTGGCCTAGTAATTGAATCTAGTTGATATCTGTAAGTAGATCACTGCTGTTACTAAACGGGACTCACCTACAGCAAGAGTGGCTGTCACTAATTTGGGGAGGGGAGGTTTCCTTCCTTTTTTCTCTTTTGCACAGTGCATTAGCACACTGTCTGGTGTGCTACTTTTCTGGAGTTTTGTCTGAAAAAAGAAAAGATTCATACATGGCCAATTAATTTGTCTGACACTGTGTGTATGTCTCTGGGTATGTTTAGTGCTAAGATCTAAAACAGACATACTGAAGGATTCCTGGCTGGGAGACTGGGGGATGCCCCCGGGAATCTGCCTGTGCGCCAGAAGGCCTTCTGAAGGGGGATTGGATCCCCTAGTACCTCTAAAAAGGTAAAGTAGCCCATGACCACGGACTGTTAATCTGATGTCCTACTTCCAAATTTTTACACAACCACCAGCTTGTCTGTGATTGTGTGTGCATCTTTGGTTTTGTTTGTCTTGTGAGTGTGGTTAGAACACCCTGAAATAATGGGTCAGAAATCTAATCACTCTCCCATCCCCCTGGACCTTTTCCTTGACCATTTTAAGGATTTCGGGGACTGCGGCCTATGAGATGGATGGAAATGCTTAAAGGCCGGCTGACTTGGGAGCCTCTGTGAAATGGGGTGGCAATCCCAGCAGACTAACTGGCATAAGGAGGTCATGTTTAACCCACCACTCATTACCAGGGCCAAAGAAGTCATCTATGGATGACCTGGCCTCCTGGCTCAGGGTCCCTACATCAACATCTGGGAAGACCTGCTTGTTGGGCCTCCTGTCTTGGGTAAAGCCACTACACACCACCAGTCTGAGGGGATCCCCAAAAGTATTTGCCTTGGGGAATGCCATGAACACCCTCAAAGATCCCAAGTCCTCAGACCCCCAATGCTCCTAAATGCCACGGGGGAGGGAGTGGTAATCCTAGCTTTTGTTAATCAAGCAGCAGTAGATATTAGAAGGAGGCTCCAAAAGATAGATGGCCAAGCCAGCAAATCAATAGATGCGTTACTTGAGGTAGCAAACAAGGTATACAATAGAGGGAGACCCCTGAAGACAGACGAGCTAGATTAAGGATGGAAGAAAACAGAAGACAGAAAACAGCTACAGCAGCAGAAAGGGGGAGGTCTAGAAGAGCAAGAGTGGCTGCAGATGAAAGGCAAGCTCACAGTGTGGTCCAAATGCCGCTGGCTGCATCAGCTGCAAAACCATAGGAGAGGAAAGATAGCTCCCCCATCTGCCCTGGGTAGGGTACGGCCCCTGAGAGAACAACAAGAGTTAGAAAAAGATCAGGGCACCTGTTGTCGGGAGGGTGGGCAAGAGGCCAGGGAACGTCCTAGGAAAAGGAACCACAAGGAGCCCTGTTGTGTTCTGGCGGCTGATGTGGGAAGAGAAAGTGTTGTCTAAGGATGTAAAAGTTAAGAGAGTTTGGAGAAAGGGTCACGCAGGGAAGTTTTGAGGGCTTGAGAAAGTGTTACGTTTTGAAGGTACAGTCGAAACGAAAAGGATCACCAGATCAGCTACAGGTGGCTGGCGGTTAATGAGAGGAAAGTAAGCATCATAAAGGTTTGAGAATATAAAAGCTCGAGCAAGAACTGAAGATAAGCTAAGTTCTGAGGGTCTGCATCTCCAGGATGCAGTTTAAGTAAGTAATGAAGGTGTAAGAAAGTAATTTAGGGTAATGAAACATGTTTTATGAAAGTGTAAAGGTGTAAACAGTTAATCTCCTAAGGTAGTATTTTATGTTAATTGAAACGAAAGTGAAGGGTAAAAACAGAATACTAACAGATTGTTAGGGTAGAGCAAAAGCCAGCAGATTGCACCTCCTGAGTGTGCCACTAAAGAATTCAGGACCACCCAGACCTGTTTATCAGTGAGAGCAGACCTACTGTCTCACTTGCTCAGTGCCTCCTGCTCAGGGCTCCTTTCTTGTCAATGAGTCCTGTCAATAAGGGTAATTGTGGGGGTCTAGCCTTAAGTAGATTTGACTATTAGAACAAAAGTTTAGTTGAGTGAATACTTTTACACCAGGGTGCCACAGAGTTGGGGAATGTATACAGTGACTAGTAGAGGAAAAGTCAGGTTTAACGAATGCTTTATACACTGCTGGGAAATTTGGGGATGAATCCCATTATGGAAGGGAGAACCATCATGATTTCACAAGATTTCTACAGAACTGACAGTGACTGTCCAAAAGACAAGTGTTCCCGAAGCTCTGCAAATCGGGTTGCTCATTACAGTGTACTCTCCTGTGAGTCTGTCTAGTGGTCTGTCAGCTGGACTTTTACTGTATAGTACTTGTGGCTCACATCACCTGCTTTAACTGTTTAAACCCTAATGTAGCTTAAAAATTAAATTAAAATTAACAAAATATCATGTGTCCATCAGGATGTTGGTGGAAACAACAAAAATTCGTTGGGATATATTGTGTCTCTGCCACCGTGTGCAGACCCCAGAATGACAATGGTCACAGCTGTACATGTCCATAAATGTCAACCACAGTTGGCTGTTTTCATTAGTTAAACTTTCTTTCTACTGATAAATTTTTAAAAGTTTTTACTTTTCTGCTTTAACATCATTCCCTATCATTTTCTGGAGTTTGTTATGTAGATGTGGAATTTCTTGTAATGTTTCCATCTATTTTTTTGCACAACAATTGGTATTGTTATTTTGAGGTCTATTTATACAGGAATATTATTCAATTTCTTGGGTGTAGTATCCCAGTAAAATATAGAAGACACAGTCTCACAGTAGACAAGAGGTGTTCTGGCCCTTCCAATATTTCCGATTCTCTTCTGAGATTTTCCCTGACCCTCAAACAAAGGGGTTGTGTTATATATAAATCAGGTAGGACTGGACACCCCCACAGTGTCTGTCTTAGTCAAAGTTTTATTGTTGTGAAGAGACACCAAGATCATGGCAGCTCGTCTCAAGGAAAATAATCAGGTATTACTTAGAGTTTCAAAAGCTTAGTTTATTATCATCATGGGGAAAAAATATGGTGACATTCCTACACATACCACCATGGGCAAAAAATAGGGGACATTCCTATACATACCACCAAGCATTCACACTTGTGAGTCTATGGGGGACATTCCTATATATACCACCAAGCATTCACACATGTGAGTCTATGGGGGACATTCCTATAAATACCACCAAGCATTCATTCATGTGAGTCTATGGGGGGACATTTCCTATACATACCACCAAGTACTCACACATGTGAGTCTATGGGGGACATTTCTATACATGCCAAGCACTCACATATGTGGGTCTATTGGGGACATTCCTATACAAACCACCAAGCACCTATTGTTTGCTGCATTTGGATTAGTTTTGGATTTTTTTTGGTGGCCTCTGTGCAAAAACAAAAGCTTTAACGTAGGGATAGAGCTACGCTTGTCTGTGAGAATAAGAATTTATATTTAGAATGAACCTAGAAATTAAACTGTTCTAGGAAAGTGGTCTTTATGGTTTCTCCTCTGGGATCTATAGAATAAATCACTATCAATGTACAGTTGATTGCATTCCAAGACCAGTCATTATTTCCCTCTTTCTGAGGAGCCTCAAGTCCAATTAGACAGTTTTTCATTACCTCCGAGAGATAACTGTCACTCTTGCACTTTTAGGGATATCTGGCCATACTGGCCATTGATGTCACTTGTGGGAATCACAACTAGGTAGGACAATTGATTGTTTTCCTCTTTTGCCACCTTGCATCAAATCTTCAAATTCTCTAAGGTCCAGTCCTCAGAGAAGAGGTTTCTGCATCAGATGAGCATGCACGGGGACTACATGGGTAGACACCAGGTCTGATGTAGGTGGGTCTTCTGTATTTCTGTTGCTTTCATTGGTTAATTAATAAAGAAACTGCTTGACCTGATAGGTCAGAACATAGGTAGGTGGAGTAGACAGAACAGAATGCTGGGAGAAAGAAGCAGAGTCAGAGAGCCACCACCATGAAGCTGCCAGGTCAGACGTGCTGCATCTCTCCCAGTAAGCCACGACCTCGTGGTGATATACAGATTATTAGAAATGGGTTGAATCAATATGTAACAGTTAGCCAATAAGAGGCTAGATATAATGGGCCAAGCAGTGTTTAAAAGAACACAATTTCCATGTAATTATTTTGGGTGTAAAGCTAGCCGTGTGGGAGCCGGGATCCTGGTGGGAATGCAGCCCGCCGCTCATCTTGCTACAGAGTGGCGCCCAACGTGGTAATGAACTCCATGTAAAACCTGAGAGAGCTTAATTTTAAACACAGAAAAAACAGAGTTTAACACAGCTTTTCATTGTTTGCTAGGGCTTGCTGTAGAGAGATTTCCTATTTCAGCAATAGCGACAGGAAAAAAGCTGAGTCATTTTAAAACGCAGCTTCTTGGGCTGTGCCGCCAGAGCGAATTCCGGCTATAAAGCGTTTCAATGGCTTTTATGGGACTGGATGTTTGTGTGCCCACTTGGGATCAGGAAGAAAGTACTCTGAGACCATACCAATGGTAGGGGATGTGAGGAGGAACTGGGAAGTTTTGAGAGAGTGGAAACTATAAATGTATATTTTGTATGAGAAAAATCTATCCTCAATAAAAAGAAAAGAGTTCATTCTTCAAAGTGATTAATGGCATTGACAACCTTTAATTAGATTAACTTTACTTTTAAAAGAGTAATTTTATTAACACCAGAAGTGAAATCTGAGAACTTGCTGACCATTTTTCAGATTACTACAATTTCCATGACTACTCAACAATTACTAGGGGTAATTGACTTATGTGAAACACACAAATACCTAGAAGCCCAGAACCTACAGAGATGGAAGCATGACGAAACACAAAATACGAGTTACTTCCATAAAACTAAATCAATAAAGACATTTGATAAAAGTGAAAAATTTTTAATGATGAAAACAGACAAATCAGATGTAGAGGAGAGGCCAGTTTATTTGGGGCAGAGGTGAAAAACCACTGCCAGCTCAGTACTCAGTGAAGACACTGACAGATTTCCCTCTGAGATCAGGATCAACACAAGGACACTGCGGTGGCCACTTTTCTTCAGGATTCTCTTAGATGTCCTAGACAGAACAATCAGGCAACACAAATAAGTAAATGTTGTCCAGTTAATTGGTGGAAAATAAATCTGCAGATGACAAGGCCTTACTTTTGGAAAATCCTAAAAATTCTACAGATGTTTTTGGAACTGGTGAACAAACATGCACATCTGAGCTCTACTACTGTAAGCTAATATTGTGCACAAACAATCAGATGTCCTGTTTGTCAGATGCACAAAGCAGCTAAGTAGCAAGGGAGACTCAAGTTGGACCCATGTCCCTGGGAAAAGAAACAGAAATGCAAATTAACAGGAAAAACACTAATGAGAAAGGTCCTACTGTGAGTGATCTGCCCTTCCATGGAAGGTTTCAAATCTGTGCATCCAACTGTGGATCCAAGCTATTTAGAAACCAGCTATGTCGACAGTGAGACGTAGGCACACCCTCCTCCTGTCGCTCTTCCTCACTTCACATGGATGACTGGTGTGCAGGCGCGTTGGACTTAGGTGAATGAGTTAAACAAGGAATGTATTTGAGCATATGAGAGAATGTATTTCTTAATGCAAACTTTCACCATTTCCACAGAAGATTCGGAGCATCCAAAAGTTTGTGGGCTCCTACAATTAGTTCCCATGAACTCTGAGAGATTGCTACATATTGAAACCACAACCTAAAAAAGCACTTACAGCCTTTGGATTTTTTTATCATATTGATGTTTTATATTTCTTTTAAGAAAACCTCATTTTAAATCCTGACCTTCCCTTGTACACATGTGTGAGTCTCCATGTTGGCTGTACCTTAGTAATAACTAATCATTTTAATCACACAACAACTTTTTAACATTTTGTACCTCACTGATAAGGAAATGCCTGCATTCTACTGTGGGATGAGAAGAGAGGTCACTTACTCATCACGGCCAGGAAACTGGGAGACTGGTCTTCGAACTGAAGTGGTTGGAGACCACACACTGATATTTTCCAGTATCCGTGCTCTTGACAGGACTTATTCTGAGTCCACACTTTGTTGGGGACAGAGTCATCCTCTCTGTGAGGTGTAGAGTATTGTTATTGAAGATCCAATGGATAGAGACATCAGTGTCGGGTGAAATGCAGGTGAAGATCACAGATGTACCTCCTGCGACTGTGGTATCAGTGATTTGCACAAAAGGCTGTGTCACGGGCTCTGAAAAAAGAGAGATTACTAAATGACAATAGTCCAGAGAGTTCAACGAGATCCTCTTAGCTCATACTTTCTAAAGTTTCCGGGTTGGGGGGGAGATTTTTGGAGCTGTGACTATAGATATATCTTGGCTTTGTATCTGCTGCACAGGGACTATGCTACTCTGATTCAGGCACTGTTTTCTTGTCTCAGTTTCAATGTAATAGGAAACACTATGCATGATCATTGCTGTGTTCATGTCTTATGCTTAGTTATGAGCAATGGCCTCACCTTGGGATGGGGGAGCTGCTGACTTCAGCAGCATCTGTTACTATTTACCTGCAGAAGACAATTCCCTTGCCTAGATTCCTGAGGTGAAGGAGGAATCTGAAGTAGCTGCCTCCTCTCTTTTTTTTCTTGGTGTCTTGCCCTTCCTCTGAAGTCTCATAAGCAAATCAGAACAATAGGCTAATGACCCAGACACCTGCCAACTGAGCATTAGAAGAAGGAGATGCACAGGTGACCTACCCAGCTGCAGCTGTCATGGCAGTGCACAGCTGGTTCTACACTCTATGTCAATACCATGACTTTAACAATCAACAAAGCCTTGTTCCTGTCGCCTCTGACAGGAAATCGAAGAAAACAGTTGCTAAAAGCTCCACAATGTCATCTTGATTTCAGACAGGGACAAAGCTTTGTAGTTATAGCTTCCTGGTGGTCTCTGTGAAGACCCCATGTCTTCATCAGTCAGGGACTACCTGATTCCCACAGAGTCTTTCTGGGGACATGTGCATTGTGAGGACTCCAAGTGTCTGCACTGAGGCTGACTTTCTGTAGCTGAGTTTACACAGAACAGGTCCTCGTCGCTGCAGGTAAAGACAGGTGAAGAGTTCTAATCTATTACAGTTTGTATACCTAAAGTGTGTCCTGCAGTGAGTGCCCAAATCCCAGCAGGGGGACACAATAAGTGGGGGAGAGAGATGTCACAGTCCAGTCCTAGCAAGTAGGTATATGAAGCAGGATGAGCCACACCCAGCAGTCAGAGGCCATAGAGAGTCTACTTACTCTTTACATAAAACTCCACATTTGCTCTTTCAATTTTGGAATCTTTGTTTAAAACTTCCAGTGTGTACATCCCTGCATCACTCTCAATGACATCTTGGAGCAGCAGGGATCCAGTTTTGTACACCCTCCCTCTTATTCTCTGTGCAGGCCCCCAGGAGATAGAAGGCTTGGCTCTGTCGTATTCTACAAGTTTATGGGCTAGGCTCCCATTGTTTGATTTGTGCCAGGAAAATACTCGCGCATCTCCTGGAAGATTATGAACTTGGAGAAGTACGTCTTCACCTTCACCTGCATACCGAGGCACCGGTTGGATCAAGAGTTGGGAAGAAGTGAGAGCATTACATAATGCAGAAAGGGAACCTGGGAGGGAAGAGAAAAAAGAAGACATCACATGGAGATCATTGTGCTTGGTGAAAAGATGGTGACCTCCAGACTGAGCAGATGGATTCATCACTCAGCTTAGAATCGCACATGTTTGAGGGTCTGTCCCACATAATGAAGGGCAGAAACAAGACCTTTCTTGACTTTTCAAAACTCCTCCTTTCCAAAAGTACCCTTGTAGGTATCATTTCCCCTGCATTGAACTGTCCACTTGTGTATCTACTTGACTGCTACCTCACTGCCCTCAGTAAGATACTGCAAACACTTGTATACACTGAAGTAAGACATAATGCCTCTGTTGAACTCAACAGGCCTAGAACATTCACTTTCTGTGGCTTTTTCCTTCAGTTTCCTTTGAGGCAACACTCATCCTTTGATTTCACCTAATAGATGCACTTGTTATATTAGCAAGTGACCCTTAGGTCTGGGGTTGTGTTGGGGCTAGGAGTAGTCTGATCTTCAAGACAGGCTTAGCTTCTTTAAAGGCTTGTGTAGAAATTTCCCTGGAGGATTAAGCATCTGGGTTCCAGCTTAAAAGGTTCAACTCTGTAGGCCTTCCCTGAAGAGAAACACCGCATTCCCCCACTCCCACCCACCAAGCCCCAGAGACCCCAAGCAGCCTCCATACACTGGATACCATCCTCTAAAGCATCTGTAAGCACTGCCACCTTCACCCAGACTGCCCCAGAGAGTTACAGATCTCTAGGCCCTTGTCCAGGGAGGAACATCCCATTCTGCCAACCATGCTGGGGCAGACTCCACACATCTGCTACCATCCTCCACCACAGCTGTGACCACCAGAGGCTTCACCCATACTGCATATGGAGAGGAACCCCGGAGTCTTATTAGCATTCACTAGAAACACGGACCTTCCTGCACCCAGAGGAAGAGCAACCACCTAAGCCACAGGCCCCACCTTCACTGAATGGAGGAGAAAGGACTCCCCTGAAGCACATGCTCCATCTGTACCCACTAAAGGGAAAGATGGGCAGACATCAGTGTAAGAACATTTAACATCAAGACCAATATGGTACAGAACCTAGTGGTCCTACAACAGGGAGAACCGAACATCCTAACCAAGAAGAAGCAGGAGAAAATGACCTTCAATATAATTTTATAAAGATGCTAGAGACCCTTAAAGAAGAAATTAAAAATTCTCTTAAAGAAATAGAGAAAATGACAGACAAAAATTGTAAGAAATCAATAAATCTCTTGAAGAAACCAAAGGAAAAAACAATCAAACAGGTGAAACAAATATCTCAAACAGTTTGAGACTTGCAAGCTGAAATAGAGGAAATGAATAAAACACAAAAAGAGAGAATAATGGAAATGGAAAATCTGGGTAAATGTACAGAAATTACGGCTACAAGCATAACCAACAGATTACAAGAGATAGAAGAGAGACTATCAGGAGCTGAAGATAAGATAGAGGAATTAGATTTATCAGTCAAAGAAAATGTTAAATCCAACAAATCCTTAACACAGAACATCTAGGAAATCTGGGACACTATGAAAAGACCAAATCTAAGACTATTAGGGATAGAAGTCCAACTCAAAGGCACAGAAAATGTATTCAACAAAATCATAGAAGAAAACTTCACCAACCTAAAGAAGGATATGCCAATGAAGGTACAAGAAGCTTACAAAACACCAAATAGACTGGACTAGAAAAGAAAGTCCCCTTGCCATATAATAATTAAAACACTAATCACACAGAGTAAAGAAAGAATATTAAGAGTTTCAAAGAAAAAAAAGTCAAGTAACATATAAAAGCAGACCCATTAGAAATACACCTGACTTCTTAATGGGAACTCTGAAAGCCAGAAGGTCTTGGTCAGAAATGCAATAGACACTAAGAGATCATGGATCCTAGCCCTGACTACTATACCCAGCAAAGCTTTCAGTCACCATACATGGAGAAAACAAGACATTCCATGACAAAACCAGATTTAAATATTACCTATCCACAAATCCAGCATTACAGAACATACTAGAAGGAAAACTCCAACCCAAGGAAATTAGCTGCACCCACAGAAACGCAGGTAATAATTAACCCCACACCTCATACCTCACACTAACAAACCCCAAAGAAGAGAAACACACAAACACAACCATCAAAAATAAATAAATAAAAGGAATATACAATTACTGGTCACTAATATCTCTTAATATCAATAAACTTAATTCACCTCTAAAAAGACGCAGATTAACATAATGGATATGAAAACAGGATCCATCTTTCTGCTGCATACAAGAAATACACCTCAACCTCAAAGTAAAGTGTTATCTCAGAATAAAGGGTTGAGTCAAGATATTCCAATCAAATGTAGCCAAGAAACAAGCAAGTGTAGCTATTCTAATATCTAACAAAACAGACTACAAACTAAAATCAATCTAAAGAGATGGGGAGTGACACTTCATACTCATCACAGAAAAAAATCTATCAAGACAAAGTCTCAAATTTGATGTTGGCTGTCTGAAATTCTATGTCCTAAATATAAGAGCACTCACAATGTAAAAATAAACATTACTAAAGCTTAAATCATATATCAAACCTTACACACTAATTGTAGGAGACTTCAACACTGCACTTTCACCAATGGACAGTTCTGCCAGACAGAAACATGAGAGAGAAATTAAGGAACTAACAGATGTCATGACTCAAATGTACTGAATAAACATCTATAAGACATTTCATCCAAACACAAAAGAACATACCTTCTTCTCAGCACTTCATGGAACTGTCTCTGAAATTGACCATATTCTTGGTCAAAAAGCAAATCTCAATAGATACAAAAATTTGGAATAACCCCATTTATCTCATCAGATTACCCTGGCTTAAAGTTAGAATTCAACAACAACACTAATTACAGAAAGCCTACAAACTCATAAGTATTTAACAGTGCCCAACTGAATCACCCCTGGGTCAGGGGGAAAATAAAGAAAGAAATTAAAGACTTCAATGAAAATGAATGCCCAACCTATGAGACACTTTGAAAGCAGTGCTAAGAGGAAAGTTCATAGCACTAAGTGCCTACATAAAGAACCTAGAAAAATCTCACACAAGTGAGTTAACAGCACATTTGAAATCTCTAGAACAAAAAGAAGCAAACTTACCCAGGAGGAATAGAAGCCAGGAAATAATCAAATTGAGGGCTGAAATCAACAAAATAGAAACAAAGAAAACAATACAAAGAATCAATGAGACAAGGAGTTGGTTCTTTGAGAAAATCAACAAGATAGATAGACCCTCATTCAAACTAACCAAAAGGCAGAGAAAGAATATGCCAATTAACTAAATCAGAAATGAAAATGGGGACATAACAACAGACACAGAGGGAATCCAGAGAATCATCAAGTTATGACCTTCAAAAATCTGTACTCCATAAAATTGGAAAATTAAAAGGGAACTGGCAATTTTCTGGATAGGTACCACATATCAAAATTAAATCAAGAACAGATAAACAGTTTAAATAGACCTATCACCCTAAGGAAATGTAAGTAGTCGTCAAAAGTCTCCCAACAAAAAATAGCACAGGGCCAGAGAGTTTTAACACAGAATTCTACTGGAATTTCAAAGAGGAGCTAATACCAATACTCCTAAAATTGTTTCACACAGTAAAAAGACAAGGGATATTGTCAAACTCTTTTTATGAGGTGGCAGTTACCCTGGTAACCAAACCACAAAAAGATGCAACTAAAAAAGAGAAGTACAGGTCAATTTCTCTCGTGAACCTTGATGCAAAAATATTCAATAAAATACTGGCAAAACAAATTCAAGAACATATCAAAAAAAAGTCATCCACCATGATCAAGTTGGCTTCATCCCAGAGATGCAGAAATGTTTCAACCTATGAATATCTGTCAATGTAATCCACCATATAAATAAACTGAAAGGAAAAAACATATCATTGCCTCATTAGATGCTGAAAAAGCATTCAATAAAGTCAAATATCCATTCATGATAAAGGTCTTGGAGGGATCAGGGATATAAGGAGCATATCTAAACATAATAAAAACAATATACCACAAGCTGATAACCAACATCAAACTAAATGGAAAGAAATTCAGGTGATTCCACTAAAGTCAGGAACAAGACAAGCACGTACACTCTCTCCATACATATTCTACATAGTACTCAAAGTTCTAGCTAGAACAATAAAACAATGAAAGGAGACCAGAGGGATACAAATTGGAGAAAAAAAAAACTTTCGCTATTTGCAGATGATATAATAGTATACATAAGTGACCACAAAAAATCGATGAGGGAAATCCTACAGCTGATAAACAGTTTCAGAAATGTACTAGGATACAAGATCAACTGAAAAAAAAACCAGTAGCCCTCCTATATACAAATGATAAAGGTGCTGAGAAAAAGTCAGAGAAACATCATCATTTACAATAGCCACAAACATAAACATAAAATATCTTGGGGTAACACTAACCAAAGAAGTGAAAGAGCTGTATGACAAGAACATTAAGTCTTTGAAGAAAGAAACTGTGGAAGATATCAGAAAATTGAAATATCGTCCTTGCTCTTAGATAGGTAGTATCAACATAATAAAAATGGCAATCCTACCTAAAGCAATCTACAGATTCAATATAGTCCCCATCAAAACACTAGCACAATTCTACACAGACCTCAAAAGAACAATACTCAACTTCATATGGAAAAACAAAAAGCCCAGATAGCCCAAACAATCCTCTACAATAAAGGATCTTCCAGAGGCATCACCATCCCTGACATCAATCTCTATTCTAGACCTACAGTAATGAAAACAGCTTGATATTGGCATTAAAAACAGACAGATGGAACAATGGAATTGAATCAAAGACCTGATATTGATCCACACACCTATCAATACCTGATTTTTGACAAAGAAGCTAAAATTATTTGATGAAAAAAAAGAAAGCTTCTTCAACAAGTGAGGTTGGCATAACTGGATATCAACACGTAATGGATGCAAATAGATCCATAT